AAGTTGAATTACATTCTCTGCAAATTTGTCCAACAAAAAGAAGTCTGAATCCAGATGTAGTTCCTGAGAGCATTAATATCCCTGTTTTCCCTCTCACCTTTCCCGCTTGTCACACTCCAGGCATTTCTTTTTGTTCTTTGTAAATAGTTTGGGGCAGAAGATTCATCTGTGTACAAGAACATATATATGCAAGCTATCACTTGTACTCAGGCTGCTGGAAGCTTCCAGTATATTGGGAGGCATTAGCAAAATAGATAATCCCTAAAGGCTTTCACCAGCCAGCAAGGGAAGGCACAGTCCTGTCCTTGACAGACTTGATTCTCAGAGGACTGGTCCTAAATCAAAACCAGTAAGACTTCCTCATTCCATTATCTTTTCATCAGAGAAACTATTCCAAAAGTTTACAGTCCCCCCTGCAAACCAATGTGTAAAGCTGCAGCAATAACAACCCGTATTTGGATGAAGGGCTTGCAGGCAATTTCTGCAAATTCAAGCTGCAAGAACCCTGTGCTGAAAGCAAAGTCAGTTCTGTGTTCAAAGGAGAAATGGAAGAAGTTATTTGTCACAATTACATTCAGACCTAGTAGCTTGCCACTTGTTGCTCAACACCCCTATGCATAGAGTCTAGCTACTGCCACTATCAAATGCTGAAAACTTGTAGAGGCAAAGTTCAAGAAACCATCTGAAATCTTGTCCTTTAACAGCAGATGGTTGTAGTGCTGCAGCCACTGGATGATCTGCCATGTAGTGAAGCGTTCTTCGTCTGGGTTTCCATGCTGTCCAAGTAGTGAGGTTTCTTAAGAACATGCAGGTTTTGTCAGAGACCCGGTCAGTCAGAATTTGTAATCCCAGTGGCTCAACCATAATACGTGTTTTTACTCCGGGTATGACAAAGATCCAATGCAGTTTGTGTCTGGAGAGACTGCATGGGAGATTGGGATTGCCTTGTATATGAAACCACTGCTTGTGAAGACACTAACTCATATTTTAAGTAGGACGTGCACAAAGAATGTCACAGTGAAAGGAAGGTGAAGAGATGGCACGCACCTGTACTGATCCTGCCCTATATTAAGTAGTGCTTTGCTGTATTGTGATTCCAGCTGTTTGTCTTTAGTGGGAACGTGGAGCTGAGTGAGTCAGAAGTAAGCTCTCCAGTGCAGAAGTCTCCTGAGTCTTCAAGGACTGTGAATGTCTCTTTTGTACTTCTGTCCTGCAGCTGGAATAAGCTTGTCAGAAAGTTCAGTGACTGTCACAGAAAGTAGCCGTTCTTGCTGTTCATTTAATTCCAGATTTGCACATAACTGAAGAGGGTACTTTGAAATGTAACAGATCAAAGATGACACAGAACTTAATGTTGTACATATTATGGTCTAACAAACCTGTGCAACTCGTTACTGAAGGAGAGAGGGGAAACAAAGATGTCCAAGAAACTTTTGAAAAGCACAGAAATACAAAGAGGAGGTAAGTGAACAGCACAACTCACGGCACCTGGTTTTACAGGGCTTTGAACTGTGCTGTTCCTTTCGGCTTCTGCAGCCACCATATATGTTTCCTCTCAACTTCCCGCCTCCCTCAAGCCCTCAGATACTGTAGTTTGACATGAACCGCACAAGAGACGACATGTACTGTGAGGAGCGTGCCACAGCCTAAAGCTAGGCAAACACGGATTGCCCAGTTAGCTGCTGCAGCCAAACAGCCTGTGCTTCCTCGCAGCTGCTGGCAGACCAAATGGCTTTAGGAGCTGCAGTCAACCCCTGGGCCATGTCCTGTGGCGACCTGTTGTAGGAACTTGTGGTGTTAAGGCCCTTCAGCCCTTTGTCAGACGTGACTAAAATTGGCCGAGAGTCAGAAGTTAGTGTGAGGGGGAGGACAGGCAGCTGACAGCAATCACAGAAGCCCTTCCCCAGGCTAACCATGACATGAATAAGACTGAGTCACAGCATAAATTGATGAGCCTAAAATTATCTACAAGGATGAATACTGTCTAACTGGCCCAACACATTATGGGCTTTCTTCTTAACTCTGGAATTGGCAGATTTTGGCTTTGGGTGCAGATAGGCTGACCAATAGGTCAGTAGTAGCCTGACAGTTCCAACTGCATTTTTTTTTAAAT